GTTTTACATTGTAACTTTTGAATCTGTTGGTTCATGTCATGGTCAAAAAAACGTCCACTATACGTGACGTCCAGGCGCGGATCTAGACCCAAATTAAGAGGGGGCCATGGGCCATACAAAATATTGGAAGGTACAGGGTGTCTGGTTATAATTTGACACCCCACCTTTATAGGTAGATGATAGGTGTAAACACAAAAGTGGAGCAGTTTTAGCTAAATAATTGTCAGTTTATTTATTTATTATCATCAATTTTGCGTACTTTCAACTTTTTTCAAACAGAATGCCCTATATTTGATTCTATATTCTTGAAGAGCACAATTTTCCGATTCCAAAAATATATAGTTTCTCTATATTAAGTTGAGCCGTCTTCACCATATTTGGCTTCAAAAATTTTAAAAATACTATCAGAGAAACCAAGTGCCTCAAATTTTACCTGAAACTTTCATCAGAATGATTCACAAAGTCATCAGTAGGATAGTATTTTTCCAATTTTTAGAGCTATATATGTTCAAGGCGGCTCAAACAAATATAGACAAACTATATATTAGAAGCAAATATAGAGCATTTCATTTTAGTTAGCAACTACAATGAAACCAAGTTTTTAATTTTAGCTCTATTCAAATTTTCACATAAAATGCTAAAAAAAAAACGGCATGATTAAAAATTTGGGAGAAGTATTTTCTTGCATTTTTTCGGAAAATGCCAAAATTAAATAATCCTCAGTGTTATGGTCTTCAGGTCCACCTATGTTATACTCTATGTTAAAATTTACAATTATAGTCGGAAATACCTGACATATCAGCAAGTTTTCAAAATTGATTGCTTTTTTAAAAAAGGTCAATGTAAGATACCAGGCGAAAAAGTCAGCAATTTTCTATAAACACACTCTCTTTATCGTAGTTTTTGTTATTAATAATTGTGTATCTACCTATCTTTGCTGGATTATTTATTTGAACAATAAAGTTTAAAGCTACTGTTGAATTTTCTTCTTTTTTCAAGAACAAACACTCGCCTAAAAAAATTTGTCTGCACCTCGGCCGAATGATCTTTTTTGGCCTCACCTGAAATTTGCTTGACCTCGGCTGCGCCTCGGCCGCAAATTTCTGATTCGGCCAAAAAAGATCAACTTTACGGCCTTGGTACACAAATAACTATTTTGACGATGGATTCTGAAAATTAAACTGCACAACTTTTTTGTTCACACACACACACACATACACTATCATCTACCTCTAAAGGTAAAGGCTGCAATTGGGGTGTCAAATTATAACCAGACACCCTGTATATAGAAATAGAATAGGCTAGGTCCGTGATAAAATGACGCCATGAAATAAAATTCTGGCCCCCATGGCCCCCATGGCCACTCCCTGGATCCGCGCCTGGTGACGTCTCGAACAAGTCATATTTTGCAACTTCTTTCCGACATCGAATTTTGGTTAATCGACGTAAATCTATTTAAAATTGACGTCATAACGACTAATCTTTGCTGCTGGGAATGTTTGATCCTTCCCTCCAGTATTTCAAATGTTTGAATGGATTTGGATCAGACGACATTTTCGCATATTTTTGTATTAAAATTGTATTCACTAGCATCCAATGTTCTCTATCTTAGGCCCGGTTTATTCATCTTGAGATAGGTACTTGCTGGTAACTATCTGCAAGATAAATTTACAGATCTATAATCCTTTTAGTCACTGGATAATTGGTTGACCAGTGGGATTACATATTGCGTTTTTATCCATCAGATTGCTTTACCTGACAGCTTGTCTGATGATGGGAAAATCATCAAGTGTCACAACATACTGCCGGAGGCGAAATTTTTTTTGGAGGCTACGCCCAAATTTGCACCTGAAAGTCGTTTAAAAAATACGCTTAGGGCAAAAATCTATCCCGATGCCGTCAAAATAGTAATACAGGGTGTCTATTTAGTGCGATATCGGACGATATCTTCTTACAGGGTGATACAAGAAAAAAAAAATAAAAATTCAAAGTTGTTTGATTCTCTAAGGTGCATTACCTAAAAATATTTTTAAATATACAGGGTGTTCTGTAAATGAGGTATGCGACAAAATTTTGTTATTTTTAAATGCATACACATATTTTAGTACATTCTATCGTTTTAAAAATCCTACGTACTTTTTCTTAGGAATCATCTATACCAAAACTCAACCGTTTTTGAAATATTTAATATTTTTTCAAAAAATCGCAGCTTGTGTCAACAAAAACCAACATATTTCATCCATTGGAGATCCTATAAGCTAAAGCTTTTGCAGGTTGTTAGTGCATAATGTCTGTCGATTTTAATCTGATACTTCAACGGAATTTGAGCTAGTGGCTCCCTACATTAGACCGCCAATGGTTACCTGACGTCACACCTGTTTTTGCCATATGAAATACCCCCTCGCTCCTCATACAGAAAGTGTCAGTTTAAAAACGACGGACTTTACTTACATTTACTTCATGGTCCTATGAAAATCTGTTAACATTTTACAGGGTGTTCGCAATACTGTACTTAATACCAGACGTTTAGTAGTATGTACGCAAGGTTGTTTGAGAGAGGTAGGTTGTCTAATAACTTCATGACGTCATCTGAGGTGCCTCAACATAATGCAAATCTGCATAAGGCACCCCAGATGCGTCATTAAGTTACCCATTACCAGAAAACCTATGAACTTTAAGAACCTTGGTAGGTACGTCGGTACTGGTGAGCCTATCATATTCATACCTGTCATACCATGCCTTTAATCCTTTACTTTGTAGAACTTGTCTTTTCTTGAAATTTTGTACTTAATAAATGTAAAAAAAATCTTTGGCTGGGAGGGGTAATTACCCCTTCTACCCCCCCCCTTTAAACCGCCCTTGATAGGAATTGCTGAAAATTTCAGCTTTTTATCTATAATAGAAAAAAAGTTATGGGTCTTCAAAGTTTTTAAAAATCCAAATCATAGCTTAATTAGCTTAGTTTAGTACCAAAATGATGAAATTTCACATAAAACTAGGGAAATTGAAGGTCCAACTCAGAGATTCTATCCAATCCTTAGCGGAAAATTTATAAAAAACAACAAAAAATAGCAAAATCAAAGATTTAATTAAAACCTAAAATAAATTAAAAATTCAAATAATAATTATTGAATAACAGGAATTATTGATCTCAAATTCAAAACTCAATTGACTCACGACCTCAAACTTGAGAGGAAACCAATTTTTGTGGAAGTAATTAAGAGCTAATTATTCAAACATCAGTTGGCTGTTGATTTGATTCACGATCCGATGCTAAAAACTAACAATATTGACTCTATTATCGTTTCGGTACATTTTATAATTAACTCCAGTGACTTGCCGATATTTAAAATAACTTTTTATCAAACGGTATCCGATGATGGTACCTATTTTCGGGTGTAAAATAACCACATTTAAACGATAAATTGAATCGATAAATTTCATCACAGAAAAAAGAAAACCGGTAGCAAATAACTAAATGGTATGCCCATTAAATGATTTTAATTGATCATCATCATTCATTTAGAAATAAATTATTCCAATATTATAAATCATCAGGCTGGTGTGTTTTTTTGAAGAATTTTCTTAAAGATATGTGAGTAGGTATATCCTTTATTGAGAAATACGGTTAAATATTGATCTTGGGGTGAAAATATTATCATAATTAGTCCGATGTGTACGTTGAAATAAACGACCGAAAGTATAAAAAATCATCTGTCAGCACAAAGCTTAATTTTTTCGGGGAGGTAGTTTTGCATACTGGTATGCGCGTTGTTATGCAAATTTGGCGAAGAAACTGTTATGAGGGTGCATCTCTAAGAGAAGGGTGTGAAGGTGGGTCCAGTGCAAAGTGATTTAATATAAGGGGTGAGTAACCCTTAGATGGACAAACGGATTAACTGCAACTTAAATTTGAAATCTAGAATCCTTCTAATAGAAATGGCGTCAATGGTAAATGGTAAGAAGAGTTGAGTTCCAACTAGTTATGGGTCCAGCCTAGTTTGATGGAACAAACCAGACCATTTAGTCATGCTAAATATTGAATAATATAATAATAATTGAACTATTAACGGTACCACCAGAAACTTAAATAATTATTAGATTTCCTCTTTAACGAGATTGCGTTTCAAAATAATAATGTTTACTTCGCCTAGAACAACAAACACCAATATTTCTGTTATGTAGTTTCGCGTCAAGTCGGGGCCCACGCCTCCCCCCGTTTTTCCCCCGGGGGGCGGCACAGAAAACTACCATGAAATAGATTCGACCATGCGATATGGTCGCACCGAGTTACCGGTCTACGGGTTGTTTATGGACGCGGTATCGCAAAAAAAAATCGCCTCGGGGTGGTCGAAAAGTATTGTTCGTATGATGGTAGTTATTTCGTTGAACCTGATGTGGTACGAACTACCCATTTCGCCTATAGGAGCTTTCTCATTCTACTACATTGTTAGAATTCTTCTTGTTATAGTACCTGTATTGTTAGACAAAATGATGCGTATTTTTCAGTACCACTAATTCTGGTTCAAGGTATTTCCATGTCTCGTTCAAAGAAAGCAGGAATCTTGATAAAAGGACATTTGTCGCCCAGCATGGCTCCTTGTAACCCAACCACAATATAAAACAGATTTCGTGTTGACGCAGTGATGTGTGGGAGGGCAACTCGATATTGCATACGATTTTTCGCTTAACATCTTTGGCAAAAAAACAAACCTATTTATAAAACTGGACAACCCTTCTAGTAGGGTTTCAAGGGGGGAGTTTTATAGTCGGGGGATGAAATAGCAGATGCTACTAGATCTAGCTGCTGGACAGTGGACACCCCATCTTTATTATTCGCATTTGCATACCAGGTGTGCGAAATTTATGAGTTTTTTTACAGTTTTGATGCTGTCATTGTGTACCCTTTGTGATTTAATTCAATTGCAAGTTTTTTTATTTTTAACCCATTTTGCAGAAGAAATTACCAAATCTCATCGTCTCATAAGAACTATTAATTATACGAATATTAAATATAATTTATTATAAAAAATAGATACACTTTAACCCCTTCTATTTCCTAAAATATTTTGGTTTGTTGCGAAAATGATTCGGAGAATCCGTTGTAATTGAAATAATGTGCATTAAAACTTCCGCCGATCGCTGCTCCCTTTCCAATTTCCTATTTCTAATAAAGGTCAGCAAGCTAAAAACAAAAATTTTGATACCTCATTTCTAATTCATTTAACGCTATTACTTCTTCTTTGTATTCTCGCTTTTCTTCTTGTCCAACTGTAAACTTTCCAGAGCCGATACGAACTCGCTGGAAGATTCTCGCATCATATTCGCAGCAAATTCGTCACCGCCCTTCGTCCATTCTTCGTACAAGTCCGGTCTGTACCCGGTAGGCTCGTCCCAGCCTTTTCTACAGTTTCTCACGATCCAGTTTTCTTGGATCGCCGACGGGATCCAGGATATTTTTCTCGGTTCCAGGATACCTTCGTTACCCATCTTGCATCTGTCCAATGTTTGTTGACTAGCTAGCATCTATATACAAAAATGTTTGGTTATTGAAATAAGTTCTCTGGACTTAGTGCATTAGGTGCCCTAGGCGGTGGAGTTGCAGGTATTGCAAAAATAAGTAGTTTTTGAATGAAAACCAGTTACCTGAGCCATGAGTGATTCTTTACTAGTAACAATCCGTTTACTAGAAGATTTTAATCTTTTATTCAATGAAGCTTGACTGAGCACAGGTCCAACCTTTGGACCCTTTGGATAATTGTACACCGTCTTGAAATGCGGATCGAAGTACCCTTCAACCAAGTCATAGCACTCAAACGGTACCGCTCTCGCCGGCGGATTTTCGTCGGTGAGGTACTCTTGAGTGGCTGGTGCCATGCCGTTTTCGATTTCGACCTGGTACCTTCTGTCAGGCATTAGACAGTAGTTTTTGTTCATCGGTACTCCGGCTGAAAATTTGTATTGAAGCACCCAAAAAAAAAATATTGGTAGAAATTATTACATACCTCCAGTAACAAAAGTACAATCTTCTCCAATTCTGCCATTCTTCCAAATGCCTTCAATCCTTTGGCCGTTTGGGTAAGTAAGAATTCCGCTACCGTGAAACTCACCCTTCCTATTGAAGTATCCATTATAGATTACTCCATGGGGATATCGGTAAATGCCTGATTATAGTGAAACTATTTATTGAGAAAGTCTAAATTTCAATAATATAATACCTTTTCCTGCAATTCCTAGTCGATTCCACTGTCCCAAGTATTTGCTCCCGGTGCAAAACTTTTTTGACGGCATGTTTACAGCTTCTTCATCAGTTAATACAAGAAATACGTCGTCTTCATCGATAAATTCAGGTGCCTAAGATGAAACATCATCAATCAAACCAAACAACTCCAATGGAAAAAATTATTATACCGTGAAAAATTTCACACTGGAGTCTCGTACAGCTTCTTCTTCGGCCAACTTGGTAGGCAGGAAACTGGTGCGTCTGGTATCGCTGAAATCGATTTCGATTTTTTTTCCGGAAGCGTCCGGAGTCCCGTCCGTGGACAGTTTTTGTTGCGGATCCATAACCGACGACTTCACGTTCGTGCACATTTTTTCCGTCGAGGATTCGAAAATGCGACAAAACAGAAAGCGCGAGACAACAAAAAAACAAAATCCAAACAAAAAAAGGATTCAGGGAAAAAAATTGTAAAAGACAATATTTGACTATGATATTGTCATTTAGGTTTGACAGTTTTCACATAATGCTGGTACCCCAGATCTGAATCACTCTGAATTAAGTTCAACTTTGAAGCTAGATTGCTCATGAACCCGTTGAGTTACTGGAACCAATATGGTACAGTTTTGAATAGAATTTAATGCTCTTTCCAATAATACATAGTTGTAGTTAATTTGCTCAAATTGTATTGAAGTAATGGACAATTATTCATGAGCGTGTCAATATTTCAAAAAATTTCCAGAGAGAAAAATTGAGATTTCCTATAGGATTTTTTCTCTCATTATAATTCTCAAATCTAACTGATCTAAGAGTCGTTTCTGACTAATTTGAACTCGCTCTATCGATTTATGAAGTCAGAATTGAGAAAAATTCAAAAATAAAAATGTTCAATTTTTTGCACTTTTTCCCAAGGGTAGGTATCCCCTTTGGATTTTTATTTTCAAATTTTCAAAGCTCGATATCTTGGTAATCAAAAGTGGTACCAAGGCAAAATTTGCAGGGTTTGTAGCTCTTGATAAGGGCTTTCGATGGTTTTTGGTTGAAATCGCTACCATTTATAGTTTTTGGGAAAATCGAGTTTGAAGTTTTGGACAAAATTTTGACTAAAGTGCAACTTTGAAGCTAGATTGCTCATGAACCCGTTGAGTTACTGGAACCAATATGGTACAGTTTTGAAGAGAATTTAATGCTCTTTCCAATGACACATAGTTGTAGTTTATTTGCTCCAATTCTATTGAAGATATGGGCAATTATTCATGAGCGTGTCAAGATTTCAAAAAATTTCCATAGACAAAAATTGAGATTTCCTATAGGATCTCTTCACAATCTCATCCGAATTCAGTGGGAGGGCGTTTGGTACATTTTAACTTTGACATGTTTATTTAGTCATGAGACAGAAAGAGATAGGAAGCTACCAAACCTCCACTACCCAATCAAACCTCAGTATAGCATTTGACAAACCAAAGCGCCTACCAAAGGTTGTCATTCTCCCATCCGAAATTGATTGGTACCAGGTACCTATTTGACAGACCAAACTGGGGTACCAAACTAAGGCGAAATCGCCTCTCTAATTTCCCCCACAGTACCAACAAAAAACTTGTTAATTACTTAAAAAAGAAACATGATGACCCTACTCAAACCAATGATAAGGGACCATCCAAAAGCAATCCCTCTAAATCTGTTCCCAAAGACAGACTGGGTATCTCTATTACCCCAGATACACCAGATGATCATCGAGGAATTACAAAATTTTCACGTTCCCAGAATATTGAATTTCATTCCTATTTCCTACCTGACGGAAAAATGATCAATGTGGTTATCAAGGGATTGGACAGAAACCAAGACATTACGATACTAACCTGACTCACTTAAATGTGAGTTATTCTCATTAGTTTAAACTACACGTTTCAGGTGAATGTCTTGCTTGAACAGTTCAGCAGTATATTGGTGATTATTTAATTTTTATCACTTTGCCTTTCTACAGGAATTAGTAATGTTACTTTACTAAACTAGTAACATAATGTGACAAGCTATTCAAGTACAAATGAGTGAATTGTTGCGGAACTTATAGGTGGACCCATAGAGAAATATAATAAACCAAGGTAAGAGTGACCGATTCATATGCGCGAAGTGGCAACGTATTTCTTGTTGTTTCTTGTAGCACATGGTGTCGCTAGCATAGCTTGGAACTATTCCATTCTCATATCTATCTCTTTTTAACAGATGCGATAATAAAGGAAAAGAGGACAAAGGATTTTTATATTATTATACAATGACATGTTCAAAACTGACAAAACATTTTTGGACACAAATTAGTCAACCTAAATCTCAATTTATTAGTTGATTTAAAAATGCATGATTCTGGTAAGATTTGCGAGATTTACAATGTGAAAATGGCTCAGTTTATACATAAGTAATGATAATTATTAAATACGAACCTATTATTAGTAGAAAGTGAGATGTGGCTGTTTTTGCTTTTTTTTTTGTTGTTATCTTGCGGTATAAGTATAATTTAATTTTGATTATTTCTTTATTTACGTTGTTTATGTATATTTATCTACAACCGTGCGGTAACTAAGGTATATTACACGATTTTGCGTGCGGTAAGAACCACATTACCGCACGGCGTGTGGTAATATTATTACCGCACGCTCTACCTACATAGGTACGTACCTGTGATTATCTACCAGAGATAAATTACCTACCTATCACCTAAATTCTACTTGTCCGCTGTCAAAGGTGACAAACGCATTTTTTTTCATAATTTTTTAAATTTCTTTCGGATATTTTGTTACCGCACGCTTGTAGATAAAATACTGTATATAATACGTATGGTAATTAGGTTATTACCGCCCTTAGAGATTGCAAACCTCGCCTCACCGGCTCGGTTTGCAAATTTCTCTCGCGTGCGGTAATAACCTAGTTACCACACTTATTATATAGTATACTATTATTTTATTTGTATACGTATGTTCTTTGTTAATTGCCAAAGATCAAAATATATAAGCCAATTTTAAGCGATTGACCGTATTTATTTTTGTTTCCAGGCCAGCGTTTTTCCGCAATTTTTTTTTCTGTCGACTGCGCAAAAACGCTGGGTTAGATTTCTACCTTCAGAAATAACAAAACTATAATTTGAAAGTTCAAAAAGCCCGCCAAATGTTATTTAAGTTGGTCTTATAGTGTACGGTAGCGCTAGTATCGATCTAACGTCATCGCGTTGCCAGTGTCGTACCACAGAATCGGTAACTCTCACCTTGGTTTATTATATTTCTCTATGGGTGGACCTCTGCGGGACGAGCGCAGCGAGTTCCGCTGCCATTTATTCACCAATATGTTGTTCAACTACGATACTATAACCTGACTCACTCAAATGTGAGTTATTCTCATTAGTTTAAAAACTACACGTTTCAGGCGAATGTCTTATTTGAACAGTTCAACAGTATATTGGTGAGTAGTAGCTGCGGAACTCGCTACGCTCGTCCCGCAGAGGTCCACCCATAAGTTCCGCAATAATCCACTTATTTGTACAGGGTGTATTTTTATATATTGACACCCCACCTACAGCCTTTACCTTTACAAGTAGAAGAAAGGTGTAAATACAAAAGTTGTACAGTTTTGGCTGAATTTTTAGAAACCATGGTCAGAAACAAAATTTGAAAGTCAGAAATGGGAAATTTTGCTTGCTCTCAGCTTTTTTCAAATGGGATTCCCTAAATTTTATTCTATATTTTTGAAGAGCACTATGCCTCGATCTATATTTGACTGAACAATCTCTCATATATTCGGCTCCAAAAATTGTAAAAATACTATCCTACTACTGATTTTGTGAATCATTCTACCTGTATAGGTGAAAGCTGCTCAGGTAAAATTTGAGGTACTTGGCTTCTCTGATAGTATTTTTAAAATTTTTAGAACCAAATATGTTGGAGACGGCTTAACCAAATATAGACAACAGACAAACTATATACCTAGTTTTGGAATCGGTAAATTACATTTGAAAAAAGCTGAATACCTACCTACATGTAATATTTTACATTTCTGACATTCAATTTTCGTTTCTGACCATGGATTCTAAAAATTTAGTCAATACTGTACAACTTTTGTATTTACACCTTTCATCTATAAGTACTTGTAAAGATGAAGGCTGTAGATGGGGTGTCAATATATAAAAAAAACACCCTGTACATAGGATTGAATTCATACTAACGATATTTTCTTGTAAACAAGAACCGACAAACGAAAACTCTTCCCAAAATCTAAATTAAAACGTTCAACTTGAAGTCCCATTGTCTGAAGCCTACCAGTCAAAGTTACGGCTTCATTATGCGTCGGTCAAAGTTAAGTAAGAAAAAAAAAACAATCTGTCGCTTCAAATTTTTTCCAGCTCATGTCTTAAGATCTCCGATGTAAGATAACTTTAGAGGAATTCCAAGCATTTCAAACAGTTAGAATTAAAAGGAAATTTTGTGTACCTACGAAACAAACTAAATCTTCACAATTTGCTTACGTATATGGCAACCCGTTACACATAAGCCATTTTTCATATAGTGGCTGCCGATACGTTATTAAATTACGCCCTTGTATGTAATGCTGAGCGTGGTGCATGTTCATGTGGGTAACTACTAGTTTTTGCGTGCTTGATATTTATTGATGATCTTGTTGCTACCAAGAACTTCTAGAACCACAAAAATTTACAAGAAGTTGAAAAATCCCAAAAAATAAACTTTGAATCAAGTATTCAATCGATTGGCATGTTAATTTGGTGTCAATTTTAAATATTAAACATTAATTAACATACGTTGGGTACCTTTCATTGAATAATTTTTCTCGCCGGTACATTATTTTAATATATTTATGGGTAACTTTCAGTAATATGTATATTTTTTCGAAAAATTCGAGTGCTCATTAGTGAATATGACCCTGTTTTAGGTTGTTATATAAGCGAGGGCTATATGGACAGAAAGGCATAGTAGTATTTGCAGTTTTACATAGTTGGTCGATGCCTAATATAGTACAATTTAATTAATCATGATTAAGGTAATTATTTATGTATTATGGATTGTTTTTTTATATTTTTTTATTAGGTTTGGTTTAGTTTGAATATTGAATTTTCATGATTTTACCTATTCCAGGTTCTTGAGTATTTATTTATTTTCTTTAATTTTATGTTTGTTTACTCTTTTGTACTTGTGTGGCCCATTGTCCAACTATAATCAGCCCTTTTTCCTTAACTTTTGTTTTATCTGCTTGTATTTAACCTTTCATTTTTTTTTTTTTTTTCACTTTTGCCTGTTTGTATCGGACACTTTTTCTTTTCCTTTCGCCTCCAATTCTACTTACCTAATACTGATTTAATTTTGTTCTCATTTTCATCATCTCGCTCACTTGTTTAGATTTTCTTCATCTTATCTTCATTTCTATCATTTTATCAAAAACGGTCTTCTGAATGTATTTGTAACTTCTTCCTCTATAACTTATTGTCTGCCTAGATAATGGTCAATTCTTTTTCAGCTTATAGTCTTTTCTGTCCTCCTAACTTATGCTTACGCTGCCATTTCCTTCAGTCATGGTGGACTCGGCGGTGGATTAGGAGGAGGTGGACTTCATCTTAATTTAGGAGGTGGATTAGGCCATGGCGGTGGACTCCACCTTAATCTAGGAGGACACGATGAAGGTGGATTAGGAGGTGGACTTGGCCATCATCACCATCATGTCTACAAAGACGTTGACTATTACGTAAGTAATTCATCAAAATATTGGCTTAAAACTTAATCCAATTATTATATTATTAGACTGTTCCCCATTATGAATACAAATACGCGGTCCATGATCCAAAACATCATGACATCCATGAGCAAAAAGAAGAACGCTATGGAGACAAAGTGAAGGGAGAATATTCCCTACATGATCCTGATGGTACCATTAGAATAGTCAAATACGAAGCAGATAAGCATAATGGATTCAATGCTCATGTTGAAAGAAAAGGCCACGCTATCCATCCGCAACATTACAAAACTTACCATCATGGGCATCATGATTAAACCGAATGTGTATATATAGATAATTTGTTATAAATATTTCATCTTCTCCCCCATATGAAGTACATATATTGTTATTATTTTATTGTTTTAAATAAAAGCACTACATGAAATAATTCAATTGCGTGTCGCCAAAGCGTCTCAATAGACATAAAAACGGTAGGATGCATTATTAGGTGCCTCTTAAGTTGGAAGATCAGATCGAACTACAAATAAGTAACCGTGTATAACACACATGTTCAAATGTGGGAAGGTAGTTTAGATCGAATACGTTGATAAACTTAAACCCAACCGACTGCCACTCTCTTATAGGTTGATGACTCAAATGAATAAAAAAAGGAGTTTTAATTTTTTTTATTAATTAAAGCTAAAAGTTAATCATTTCGAACCAATCATGATGAATTGTTTGTATAAAGTCAAGCTATTCAGCATTCAATAATCACTCTCCTTAAGCTCAATGCTATCGATGCTCAAAATCCAAGTCTATGATAATTTTGTTTCATGCATCAAAGCTCCTAGTTAATAGGACAGGCTAAACACTAAATTTCGCGAATTTGTATGGGGCCATTTTGTAAGGATCGATCCCAATCTTCGGTGCAAGTTTTTACACTCACGGATAATTATGGATTTGCAGTCGAACGAGCATTTTAATAAAACAATGCTACCGCTAGGCATTATCTTATTTACAATCTTCCAGTCCTCTTTTATTCTTCTCAATAAGAAGAATAAGAAATCGGAAAAAGCCCCTGAGCGGGTTATCTAGATGCTATTTGCTCTACATTCCGTACGTTCCTGGTTGGTTTTGTTTTTTTGACCAAGCCGCATTATCGGAATGGAAACAATACCGGTTGGGGAATTGCAAATAGTTATTCAATGGTAGATAATGGTGGGAGAATTGGTCATTGTTGTGTTATCTTGTGATAGATAATTTTAGTAAGAACTTTTATTCATTGTCATCTTAAACTTATAATAGTTAGTTAGCAGTAGGTACAGGTATCATAATAACATCTTCATCTTTTAAAGTTAAATTAAACGATTTGGGGTTTTCATGCATCAACACGAGAAGAGAAAAACCTTTCAAATTCAATTGAGAGCTTCAAAGTCACTTCCAATTGAGTTTTTCACAATAAAGAAACTTTATTCCATAAATTCTAAAAGTTTCAAGTCAAGTCCGATTATAACAAGTATTTTGCACAAGTGATTTTTGCAGATTTCAATCATTTTTGCATGCATCAACGTATATAGTTTGAAGCTTCAAATCAACTTCAAATTAAGTTTTCCACAAAGAAGAAACTTCAATTCATAAATCAAGTTTCAAATTAGGTACTGTGATCACTGGAAGTATTTTTTTGCAGAATTCTAATAGGATTTCCTAGGATTTCGTTAAAAGTGTTACACATTTTTCAGGCTGGTTTACATTAGTACCGTTAATGAACAAAAGCAATCAATCCTACGTCACTGTTCAAAACCAGAAATTCCATTAGTATATTAATAGTGACAGATTTGTATGGTCATACATCAAATTTGAATTAACATGAGGACGCGCAGGTGGTACCCACTTCGAAAGCCAAAGATTATCACTGCTCCACATTATAATTTTTGTTTTTTTACGGGGGCGGCACACTATTAAGGAATATTTTCAAATCACAGTTAGATTTTTCGATAATAACTATTAGAGATTGCACAAACTCTATATAGATTGAAGTGCTATTATAATACGAGCAAAATTATTGTTGGCAATAAACCATAAAGTGGTGCCCCGTAAATTCGCGCCCACGTTTTACTGCAAATTGTTTCGATATTTCAGGCCAACGAAAAAAAAATATGATTCTAGATTTATGGATTAATAATGCACATGGATGATATGATGGCCGGATCGTTTTAGGAAAATTACACTTTAAACGACGCTATTATTTACCCTTCTATATTGGGTATTATAATATAGAAATAGAGTTGGGTGTCCTCAACCGTATATTTTATAAGAAATTAAGTATTCTACCTCCATAAGTTATAATTATAACCTCAGTTTCGATAGGGAAACAAACATGTCATTGAGACAAACGATATTTAAATTATTTGTCCCCTTATCGAAAGTGGAGTTAGGTAATTTGTGACGTAATAGCATAATAATCGATAAAACGCTCTGTCTGTTTCCCCATCGAAAGTAAGGTTATATATGTGACGTCAGCTAAAAAGTGATTATAATAAAATATTAATTTTATCTATTTTCGAATTAAAACTCTTACTTAACTATCGACACAATTTGTGGTTTTATATTTTCTACAAATAAATCTATTATACAATACATTATCTATATTTGACTAACAATTCTTCCAAGTCTTTAATCTTTGTAGGTTTTGTAATGTTGCGGATGAACAGCGTGCCCTTTTCTTTCAACAACAGCATTGAATCCATTATGCTTATCTGCTTCGTATTTGACTATTCTAATGGTACCATCAGGATCGTGTAGGGAATATTCTCCCTTCACTTTGTCTCCATAACGTTCTTCTTTGTGTTGATGGTTGTCGTGGTGTTTTTCATCATGCACAGCATATTTGTATTCATAATGGGGGTTAGTCTAGAATTAGATTCATATAATTTATGGTCCATAAAGCTTGGCTCAATCACTTACATAAAAATCCACGTCTTTGTACACGTGATGTTCATGATGTTGACATTTGATACTCAAAATTGCTGTTGAGGCAAGCAAAATAACAATCTAGAAAAAATTATTTTTGACTCAATACTGTAAAGCCTGTATTGATACTTACCTTAAACATGATCAATATAAATACTTAACTGCAACTAATGACCAATTCCGAAAATTGTCACCTTTATATACTAATTGGCCAAATTCGGCTTTAGCCTTTTTACATCTATAATTTTGATTGGAAAGTCACATTATATAAAATTAGTTGCAAATTTATTATTCTCATTTCACGATCACTTACTTTTACTCGTATATAGGTATACACGGCGGAAAAAAAAAATTGACCGGCAATTTTCCTCTCTTAGCTTAGAATATTTCTTAAAATAAGTACTTCCTGCACAATTAACTTGAAAACTATACATAGTTTCAATCTAATTACAGTACAGAAGATATATGGCAGGCCTCTGGTTGGTTATATACACATTATACGTGTATGCAAAGAAAATTGCTAAATTATTAATTCCGTCCTGCTGCTGGATGGGCAAAACGGGCAAAAATTGAATTTATGTAATGGTACAGAATCCATGTATAATAAGATTAATCAGTAAAAGATCTCATTCATCCAAAACTTTGATTAATCAAATTGAAAATGAATCATCGTAAATTCTCATAGCAGCGCATTAGGAAACAACTTATGGATACAAATTAATTCTCAATTGGCAGATTTACGATGAGCTCTAATAACCGGGCCCCGGTACCACCTTCAAGAAAAATCGCTCCTACTTACCATATTAACCAGGAAGTTGGTTCTTACCTCCCGTACGTATCGGGACTAAATTATTGTCGACCACTGGCATCTGAATAATGGCCATCGTTTGTAATGGTTACGATGATGGACGGCGGCTCGCGCTAAAATTAACCTTCTGGTTCTGGTATAGATATTTTTTCAGGTACTACCTGCGGGCGACCACGATTGGTTATAGCAAAGGAGCATGTTTAGTACCTCTAATTTTAAAAGATTGCACACGTTTATCTTTAGTACGAGATAGAGCTAAAATAAAATACAAACGTTGGAGCTAATTTATCCACAGAGGCCTAGAATTACCTTATTTTTCTTGAATTGATTAGAATTAGATGGCCAATGTTGTTTTTTTTTTTTTGTGTTCGAAATCCCCCAAGCTCCATACACTAAATTATTCTGAGATCTATGAAAAAAGGGAGTCAGGAAAATTGAAAAATCGATAAATCATCCCAAATTACTTGACACGATTTTATTTCTGGAACTGTAAGTCCGAATAATGATGATAATAATAATAATAAACTGTCTTTATTAAAAACAAATGTCCATGACATTTGCCCATAGGGCGAAGATTAGCTTAAAGCTACTCATCAACTTTCAACCCTAAAAATTGTTAAATCACCCCAAATTGCTTAACACTATTTTATCTCAGAAACTATAAGTTGCAAATGAGCAGGGATTGTAGTCCCTTGATTGGGATAAAATTCAGTGAAAATTTCAGCTTTCTATCTATAATAGAAAAAAAGTTATGACTTTTCAAAGTTTTCCAAAATCTAAATCATAAGGTACTTCTTACTAAAACGATAAAATTTCAAATTTTTTTTTGTCGAGATTTTGTATCCTAATGGTCAATCAACATCCCCCAAACTCCATACACTAAATTATTCTCAGATTTGAAGCCGAAATCTATGAAAAAAGTAACTCAGAAAAATTGAAAAATTGATAAACCACTCCAAATTGCTTAACACGATTTTATCTCAGGAACTATAAGTGGAAATGAGCTGAAATTTTCAGGTATTGTAGTCCCTTGATTGGAATAAAATTCAATGAAAGTTTCAGCTTTCTATCTATAATGGAAAAAAAGTTGCGACCTCTCAAAGTTTTCCAAAGTCTAAATCATAAGGTACCAAAACGATGAAATTTCAAATTTTTTTTTTGGTTGAGATTTTGTATCCTAATGGTCCTTTGGGATCCCCCGAACTCCATACACTAAATTATTTCGAGATTTGAAGCCGGATTCTATGAAAAAGGCACTCAGAAAAATTGAAAATTTGATAAATCACTCCAAATTGCTTAACACGATTTTATCTCAGAAACTATAAGTGCAAATGAGTTGAAATTTTCAGGGATTGTAGTGCTACTCTACTGGAGTAAGAATCGCTGAAAATTTCAGCTTTCTATCGCTGATAGAAAAAAGTTATGACCTTCCAAAGTTTTCCTGAATCTAAATCATAAGGTTACCTATTACCAAAACGATGAAATTTCAAATTTCTAAATAAAGAATTGAGGAAAAATCAAGAGCCTGGAATAGAAAAAATTATGAAAATTCAAGAATAAGAATTGAATAAGAATTTTCTAGGTATTTTATCATGATAAAATATAGTTCCTTATACTATTAGTACCTTCGCCAGTGAGTCAAGTTCGGAATTTCAATCCAATATTTCAAACTACTTGGCACAATGGTGGTCAGTAAATTGGAGTTTGGTTGAATATTTAAATTATTGTCCTAATATCTATTGAATTTTTTTAATTATAAATTTAAGTTGAAACAAATATTAGTTTACCAACAAATCAGCAATAAGTTTGTTTTGTGTAGATAAGGTACATAGAAAAATCGACTGGCGGGCAAAATTCCATCAGTAGGATAACTGAAAATTCATTGTGCAATCCGATAAAAAGAAAAACTTAAAGTTTTCCGAGCGCTGGAAACTGAAGTTCCCTGCTGATTGAATTGGATTTGTTATATAGTATAAGTATGTAATAAGACTCCGCGTCTTAAACAGGAGTTTTTATATGAGATTGCCTCTGAAACAGAAATTAAATTAGGAACTATATTTTGCATATCTATTCTTTATTCGCGTCACACAAGCTTGGAATTGGAGCAAAACAATTCCGGCGGAATTGGATGTGTCGCTACCTTTCTTCCATCAATCAACATTATAGTCTGATTTCGACAAATTGTTTTTCACTCATTCAATATTGGCAATTTAACGTAGGTACAGAGTCTTTGTTATATTTATTCTGTAATGGATAATTTATTGAGAATTTAATTTTTGGTACTTCATAAAGTTATCAGTACCATATTTGCAGTCGCTCCTTTGTCAGGACCAATCATTTGATTTCTTGAGAAGGATTTTTTTTCTTTCAAGGATTTTTTCGAATTAAATATAGGGAAAAAATATCGTAGCTAATGGGTCTATTAGAAATTAAAAAAATTGTTATGAAACTATATGGTTTTCTATTCCAAGCTTTTGACTTTTCTATATATTCTTATTCCAGGCTCTTGAATTTATAAGGGAACAGAAATTTAAGAGCCTGATAGATGAAATAATGCCAGAAATGAATTTTCAAGAATTGGACCCCAACCTCCTGAAATCATAATTCTGATTCACTTGAGATTTTTGAATTCTTGAATCTTCATAATTTTTCCAGGCTCTTGATTTTTCCTTATTTTTTTATTCTAAACTCTTAATTTTCTTTTGACTTTTGAATTTTTTCATTCCATTCTCTTAAATTATCAATATTCTTGTATTCTAGAATTTTAGGCTCTTGATTTGTTTTTCAATTTTTCATCATGTCGATAATTTGCCTTAAATTTCCTCTCTATTTTTCAATTTTTGTCTATTCTTGGCTTTTGAATTTTGGTTTTGTTCCTTGTCCTCAAACATAGAACATTCAAAAAAGAGAGCACATACGAGAGCCTAAAATAGAGAAATCATCTGTATAATTTGCTAATAATTTTTGTTCAATTTGTTTTGAACCATTTCTCCAAAATCTTACAAATGACTCACCTCAGAACTGAAAAACCTGTAGTTAGTAGAACAACTTTATATTTTTTTTCATAGATTGCTAAAGGCTTTATCTAGGATATACTAGAATTTTACAAAGATTAAGCTGAAGATAGTTCAGCTGTAATTTTTTAAGTTACACATACAATGCAAATTGTTTTACATTAAAGTTTGTACCTGAACAATAACTTATCGAATGTAATACCACAAGAGGTTTCAGGATTACCGGATAATACTTTTACCTGTCACGAAACGCGCAGCAACACCACGACTCCGAAGGAGGAGTGGTGTTGCTGGTAACGCGTTGAGTGTCAGGTAAAAGTATTAGGTAATCCTGAAACATCGAGTGGTATTCAAAAGGTTATACAACGAACTAAACTTCAATACTTTATCAATCTTTATAATCATTAATGACAAATTGACAATATTGCCACCAAGCGCGATAATCCCAAAAGGCTTATCACTTCTTAAGCCTCTCGTGTCATATGGGAATAATGTACAGTGAGTTGTATAATCATATAAAGTCAGAATTTGTAAGATTATCCACTTTTGGCACTTTTTGTCAATTTGCCTTTTAACTGGAATTAGTAACATATCGTGATAAGTTATTCAAGTATAAACGAGTGAATTGTTGCGGAACTTATGGGTGGACCCAGCCATCTATTGACCAATATGTTGTTCAAGTACGATACTAACCTGACTCACTCAAATGTGAGTTATTCTCATTAGTTCAAAAACTACACGTTTCAGGTGAGTGTCTTATTTGAATAGTTCAACACTATATTGGTAAATAGATGGCTGCGGAACTCGCTGCGCTCGTCCCGCAGAGGTCCACCCATAAGTTCCGCAATAATCCACTTATTTGTATGTACAAACAATGTAAATTCTTCCCAATTGCTCAACATCAAAGATTGGAATTTTTCCTGAAATAACTGTAGCTTATAAACAAGCATTATATTTTTTTCTTAAATTTTTCCTAAAAAGCATTCGCTTATAAAGCAACATTATATTTTTTTCTTGAATTGTTTAGGCTTTGGCTGAAATATACTAGAATTTGATAAGGATTGAGCCAAATATGCTGTGATTTTTTTCAGTGTAATGCAAAATCTTCCAAATGACTGGTGGTGGGGGGCTGCTTGAGAGACGCATTTACTACTAACGCCATAGTTCTTTTGGTAATGATTAAAATATATTTTAGAAGCATTCGGATTGTAAATCATATGAATCATATTTACAATCCGAATGTAAATCATATGAATTAGAAAAAAATCCTCCCAGAAAAAAAAAATAAAACTCTGAAAATATTATCATCAACCCCTACAAACTCTCCGCTCAACACAGAAGCCTATAAATTCTCGATTCTTGTTCACACACCGAGCCGTAAATTACAATTTCAACTTTATCATTTTCCGAAAGTTTTCTTTTATACTCTTCGGCTTTTTGTGTGAGGGTTATTTTGGACTTTTCCCACCTCATATAACATCTTTTTACGCTTGTTGCTTATCGCCCTTTCGCAGGAGAGAATATACTCGAGACGAAAATGATTTTTCCTCTCTGTGCTGAAAAATATTAGATTTTTGTGATTTAGGAGAGTGCGGTATTTCTAGGGCACAACAAAATAATCTATCAAAATTATTCCAAAGGATAACCAAGTTAAGTTGTCTACTAAAAATAACAAGGGTCTTACATAATAATGTCCATCAATAAAACTTTATGGACAATAATGTTTTGTCCAAAAGATAAAAAGGCCGTTCAAAACATAATCATCAAAATCTGCATTATTACCTAATAAAGCAAAAAAATTCTCGTTAAATTGTAGACACGTGCGATTGACACGTTAGGGGACAAATAGGGTTGAAAAATAATTCCGCCATGGGAGAGTTTCAGAAAAATCATCATATTATTACTAGGACATACCAAAGATGCCAATATTCCAGAAAACAATCCCTTTGTTGCACTATTTTCAATTACATAAAAGTTGCACTTTTGTCTCCCTTTCAAAAAGCCCTACATAATGGAAAACTTTATCCATCTACAAGTTTTTATGTGAAACTAGGCGAACAATTTAATTTTGTACAAGAGCTTCTGTGAATAAGTTTTTAAAGTAGCCCTTGTGAAACTTCTTACAGGATATTAGCAATCGATTCACTGAATGGACTCTTTCTCGGTTATTATTTTGGTTGAAAAATTACACGAAGAGTGTATTTTTTCCCCTTAAATATATGCGAGTTCATATATAGTGTTTGATTAAATTTCGCCTCGAGGCCTACAAAAGGGCTTTTTGCCTTTGAAGTTGTTTTCTCTGCGACGTGATGGGGATAGAAATTTTGCTTGTGGTTTGTTTTTGAAACAAAAACAAATTGTGCTATAAAGGCGTTTTCACACTTTGCGTTGGGAAAGCTTATTTAATGTTGGAAATATCCATCAAAACTCAAGCAATTCATGATTCTATATCACTTATCTTTGTCAGCGTCAGCACTGAAAAGGAAGATATGTAATGTCAGAAACTCAAACGCTATTTTTTGAGAATACAGTGAACTGGTTCCATAAGTTCTCGATTAATATGCAGACCAGAGTACTGTCATCTTTTAGTGAGAAATCTAATTGAATGGTGTCCTCTATTAGAGAGATATACATATAAACTTGAGTGAGAAGAATATGAAAAGATCCAGGAGAGAAGAAAATTCTAAAATTTCTCTCATAGCAAAATTTTAATTCCGACCACTGGCGTGTGAGTTTTCCGGCTTGGATTCTCCACTTAAATTTCACTAGCAAAATCTGCTAGAGAGATTTTCTGACCATGTAATGAATACGCTAACCGACGCCGACGCCCGAATGAAATGGAAAACAAACTCGATTATACACATATATTCAACTCAGTCTGCTTAACGAATAGAGCCGAAATGTAGGCGGGATTTTATATTATTATCGAAGAAGAAATTGAATATTATCTAGATTGGTTACAAATTACTTGTTTAATGGTATTTTTTACTTAAGAAATCACAGCTCTTTCCACCCTAGTTTTGGGCACAAACAGTATACTGGAAATTATAGGCAGTACCAAAATACATCGTTTAAGGAACCTCACTTGACTTGCAAATAACTTTGAGGGTGGTTTCAGGGGAAATGTCATCATTTTAGTATCTATTTATGATTTAGATTTTTGAAAACTTTGTAAAGTCATAACTTTTTTTCTATTATAGGTAGAAAGCTGAAATTTTCAGTGATTCTCATCCCACAATTTCTGAAAATGTCAGCTCAATTGGATTCATAGTTTCAGAAATGAAATTGCGTTAAGCAATTTGAGGTAAATTTATCCATTTTTCAATTTTCTGATTACCTTTTCATAGGTTTCGGTTTCGGCTTCAAATCTCAGAATAATTTAGTGTTATGGAGTTTAGGGGGTCACAACTGATCATATAAACGCATAATCTCAACATAAAATAATTTTAAATTCCATTGTTTCAGTACCTACTCTTATAATTTAGATTTTTAAAAACTTTGAAGTCCTATAATTTTTTTTTCTATTATAGATGATAGAAAGCTGAAATTTTCAGCGATTCTCATCGCAGTTAAGGACTACAATCCCTGAAAATTTCAGCGCATTTGGACTTATTGTTCCAGAAATAAAATCGCGTCAAACAATTTGGGGTAAATTTATCAATTTTTCAATCGAGCTGTGAAATAGTATATTGTTGTATTAGGAGTAGAAGCTTTACTTTTTTGTGCTGAAGCAGTAGGTTTGCGGGCCGAACGTAGTGAGGCTTGCAATACTGCTGAAACACAAAAAAGTGCTTCTACTCCGTATGTAACACGCTATTTTTTCTCCATACTAATGGGGTAAGCTTGGGGGCAAGTCAATGGTTGAGCGGCAGTAAAATTACGAGCAGCACTAAAAGTACTTTTGCTGCCGCTGGGGTTGCCAAGCAGCATAGAAATTAAACTTCTAACACTTCGACAGGTGTTAACCCGCTGGATTTGCCTGGCAGAATAGAAATCTAATTTCGGACATCTTGACAGGAGTTAACAAAGTGACGTTTTTTTGACGTTTGGAGAAAATAGTATATTGTTGTATTAGGAGTAGAAGCTTTACTTTTTTGTGCTGAAGCAGTAGGTTTGCGAGCTGAACGTAGTGAGGCTTGCAATACTGCTGAAGCACAAAAAAGTGTTTCTACTCCGTATGCAACACGCTATTTTTTCTCCAAGCGAATGGAGTAAGCTCGGGGGTAACTGGATGGTTAAGCGACAGTAAAAGTACGAGCGGCACTAAAAGTACTTTTGCTGCCGCTCCAGCGGCACTAAAAGTACTTCTACTGCCGATGCGGTTGCCTAGCAGCATAGAAATTAAATCTCTACCGCCTCGACAGGTGCTAACCTGCTGGATTTGCCTAGCAGCATAGAAATTAAGCTTCTGACACCTTGACAGGCGTTAACAAAGTGACGTTTTTTTGACGTTTGGAGAAAAACTAACTTTTCTAAAATTCAAGGGCAAAAATAAAACAACATTTTTAAGTATTAGCTGCCAACATTTCGACATTAATATAATATATAATATTTTATTTAGGCAATCTTATAAGTACAACATCAATTAAAAATTAAATATATTTATATTATAGTTTTTTCTTTACTTATTAATAAATAGATGTATACATTTTCCTTAAAATCAATAATAATTAATATATTATGTATATAAGAATACATTATTATATAGCCTAATAAAATTTCCTTTTAATAATAATAATAATAGACACATTTATAAAATATATATAATATACTTTACATTTATTTAATTTGATTTATATAATAATAGAAACTAAAAAACTCTTCAAAGTTTTTACTACTATCACATTTTTTGCTTTTGGAATTTTTTCATCCAAAGATTCTATATGCCATTTATATAATGTAAACCTGTGGAAAATCAAAATCCTTTGGTACATTTTTCCCATTGAGCTTGAGTATACAATTGAATTGAACCAATTATATAGGTAACTTCACAACAAATATAATTAACTATTGATTAAACCTAAAAAAAAAAAAACACTTTCGTACAAGTTTTAGCCCTTTTTTATGTACAAAAGTTTAAGGGTTTGTACGGAAAGGTTGTTTCAATAATCTCGTCAACTGTGCAATGAATAAGCTATTTTGATAAACATTATCAATTTTTTCCTCTTCAAGTAATTGAAATAATGTCTTGGAAAACTTCACAATATATAAAATCTATAATGACTTAGTTTTTACACCACGCTTTTTCCTTCTTTTTAAAATCCACAAAAATATATTCATCTACAATTCTGCTGCATCTATTTCAGACTTTTTCAGTGTTCTCAGTTGGCAAGGAAGAGAAATGTTTTGTGTACGATATTGTCACGTAAACTTCGTTTTTTTGAGCGATATGACTATTCAGGATGGTCCAGGAATTTTTATATTATTTGATTATGATGGGTAAAGTTTGGTTTATATAAAACATCATTATATACCCTGTTTTTGGGCTTAATATACATAAATATCTACCTACATAATAATATATGGATATTAGAGATGGTACAGATATTTTAAAGTTCAATATAACTTCCGAAGCTACCTAATTCCCTGTGACACTGCTCTGTATAGAGACCAAATATCTACAACTTCTCTAATCTCCATTAAAAAATATACAACAATAATTAGGCGCTTTAAACTTTGACACAAATAGCATTATATATTTAATTACCTATCTAAATTGACCTACCTATAGTAACTATAATAATATTTATTCTAAAAATGGTCGGACAACTTAACAGAAATCATGTGGAATGCTTGGAATGGACGAAATACCTAATTAAGCAAAAAAATAATTGGATTGTCTCCCGTATATACCTTCATTCTCAAAAGAATATTCAATTGACATCTTTCGATAAAAATTAGTAACTCAGTTGACCATCGTGTCGTCTGGAAACGATTCCAAGTTTTGCTGGAACATGTTGTTGTTGTTGGCTTCTTCTGTCGCCTCCGCTTCTATGTTGCTATCACTTTCGGCATCTTGGAATCTGGAAAAACATATTTGGCTGAATTAACTATAAAACTAGAAAGTGACAGTTTTCAAAATAATTTTTGATTCAAATCCACCCTGTACATTGCAGATCCAGTTGCATCATTTGTAAACAAAGTATAGCATCGTTAACTGAAAATTGTAGTAAATTTATGGCCCTTAATTGGGTTTTATGTGGGTAATTAAATCCTTCCCAGGGTGTTAATGGGCCACTTGTTATCTTTTTTTTTATCGTCAATAATAATTTTTGTTATTGGTGATATTGAGATAAATATTATTATTGGAAACAAAAGATTTCAATATTGGATAAAACTGACGTTATCTCTTCATATAATAGTAGGTATCTATATTTGGAGGTTGATATCCTGTATTGAAGTATTTACTTACGTATAATGTTTTTCTTCTCCTCTCATCTCGCATATTACATTCGTTAGAGCCATTATGTAATTTTTCGCTAGCGTGAGGGTTTCTATTTTCGATAGTTTTCGTTCCATTTTTATGTGAGGTATTACTTCTCTAAGTTGCTGAAATAGAAAAATAATTATTTTAGTTATAATATTAATAATGAAGTGCAAAACTTAATGAGATCCGTTTCCTGTTTGTTACACGCGTTCAAAAATCATTATAATAACCATTCACAATGGATTTTGATTAAAATAAAATTATTTTTGCTTGTAATTGACACCTGAATATTGTCGATATTTTTTTTTGTAATATAATTGCTTTTTGCGAACTGAATTTTAACTTCAAAATGCAGTTTATTTCCTGAATTCTCAAAATAAAAGCATTCGAAGCTCTCACAAGACAATTTTGTTCTTCCAACTTCAATTAGGCTGGAAAGTGTCTTTTTCAAATCAATATTTGTCGAAAATTCATAATGATTAATGAAGATAGTTTAGCATGTCGTGTCTTGATTCATATTGAAGTATCTCTTTTTTGCATTTTAGTGAAAACTTCAACTTTGAAGCTCAATAAGTCAATTGGTGGTTAATTGATTGACATCAAATTTAGCTAAATTTATAAAGAATTCAATGCTCTTTTAAACGATACATAATTTTTGTCAATTTGCCCTTAAATAATAATTGACAATATGAGGCAATTATTCATAACCATAATTTCAAGTTTTCCAAAAATTCAGGCACCCAAAAATTGAATTTCTTGAATTGATTTTTTTTTTCTCATTTACATGGACATTTCGAATTGATGTTGGAGTTGTTCCGGAGGAATTTTAACTTGCTGTATCGATTGGTTAAATTGAAATAGAGAAAAATTGAAAATTTGCATGTTTGTTAAAGATTATTTTTGGAATCTTTTCCAATTTTGAATCGATAGGCTTGAAATTTTGGTAAAGATCCTTTCAACCTTCTTCTATAAATTGCAAAAGTTTCAAATTTTTAACATTATCGAATTTTGAGATAAACATTCAAATGTCTCTTAATGCATATTTTCCCTTTGAATGTTTACCAAAGTTGATTTTTGATATCTGTTTCAATTTTTAATCGATCGGCTCGAAATTTTGCTGAAAGATCCTTTCAACCTTCTTCTATAAACTCCGAAAGTTTCATATTTGTATCATTTTCGGATTTTGAGATAAAAATTCGAATGTTTCATAATGTTCTCACTTTAAATGTTTCTTAAAGTTGATTTTTGGAATATTTTTCAATTTTGGATCAATCGTTTTGAAATTTTGGTAAAAGATCTTCCTAACCTTCTTTTATAAACTCCAAAAGTATCACATTTTACCCCCGTTTCCAATTTTCTTTGGTCATCAAAAAATCAATAATTTGTTCAAAATCAACCTTTTTCTTGCTTTGTAAATACATTATTGACTTTTCAAGTGCCTGGAATCGATACAAAGTGCATATTTCAAATCAATAAAGCTAAATCATTTCTGAATTTTCAAAAATTGTGAGTCAACTTGAAGATCAAGCAGAGACATTTCATAATTGAGCTGAATGACCATTGATACACTTATAATAAACTAAAGAAGCTTATTGAAACTCTGAAAAGTAACTAGTTTGGTTTATCGATATTTCCATTTCTGGTACGATATTTTCAAAGCATCGATACACCTTCACTTGTATCGATATTTCAAATTCAAATATCAATATCTGTATTGATACTATAATAATTTGATTTTGACGTCATCCATTATCAACTTGATTCGACATTTTGGTGGGAAAATAATGGAGTAAGAAGAGATATTGAAATTTCGCTGTAAGTCGATTTCAATTAGAGACGGGCTAGACAATCGATGACAAACAATAATTACCTCAAACGCATCATTCAGCGAATGCATTCTCATTCTTTCTCTCTCGTTGCTTTCCAGTCTTCGTAAGTTTCTCTCTCTCGCACTTATACAAGTTTTCCGTCTTCTGTATGGTGCAGTCGTGCTGGATGCGCTACCACTTGATACACTACCTGAGAAAAAGAAGGTTTTTATTAAATCCCGTCCCTTTTGCCCAGAGGTTTTAATAAAATATTCAGGACCCACTTCAAAATTGTGTTTGCCATATTATTAAATATGAATGAAATCCCCCTTCTCGAGAGGGTTTTATTGAATTCATCTTTTGTGCAACTAAAAAGATATTTTGCTGACGTAAATCCTTATAGATTAATTTGAAAAGTTCTATTTTTTCCTAGAAATTTGAAGTGTCTACTAAATTAAATGATATCTGATTATTATATTAACATAGTTATAGTTAGATAATCTTTCATTATAAGATTGCAAACAAAAATTAGTTGTTATTTATAGAGTCCCACAATTAATTGCTTACAGGAAGAAAACACCTAAAGGATAATTGCCAAGTTTTGATTCCCATTAACGAACGTTTTAATTAACTGAGAAACAATATTATTATGTTTAATCAAGCGACTGTTGTTTTTGAAAATGAACTCTAGATAAAGTCAATTTTAATTATTGATCGAAACTGATAAATACAATTGAAACTTGTGCCAGGAAATATCCATCAGAGATTTTTCTATTTTCAATAAACCGTCTTCGTCTGATAGACAATTGATTCGATTATTTGTTGCCCAGTAGCAGAGTAATCCGATCCGATTTCCAATTTTCCAGGATAAAAATAAAGGTTTGAACCTACCTCCGTGTTTCCGTCGTTTTTTGCCTGTCGTTTCATCACTACTTGATTCCGTTAAATCGTCCGTTCTACCATTCAAATTGTTGTGTTTTAGTTCCATTTCTTCGACTTCGACGTCTTCTTCTTCGTCTTGCCAGGGCGCCGTCATTTCCAATGACCGCATCCTTTTCTTCAACTCACTTCTGAAAAAGAAATAGGTATTACATGAATCCCAATTTTTTCCAAGAATTCTAATTGAATCTGGTATTTTAAGGTGTGCCAATCAGTAATAGTGCATAATATGACGGTCACAAGCCAGGCATAAACTTTCTTTTATGTAATCTAAATCCGGGACTGGTTTGCGAATGTTAAAAAATCAAATAGGCAAGGCAAAGACAATATTTCTAGTGTTGTTTGAAATTTTGATGTTTAATAATAATTGAAGCATTTACTTTCCAAGTGAAAGATGCAATGTTTCGTAATATTGCGGTGAAATAATCACTTTCACAATATAGATCGAATTTTTTTAAGGTTGTAAGTATTTCATTATTAGATCAGAACAAGAATTATCGAGTAATTGGCTTGAAGAAATTGAACTTTGACTTAGAATATCTAAAATAGAAAACTTCAAGCTAATTTTTTCCCTCCTCGTTTAATATTCCCAAGTTGCAACTGAGAACTTTTTTCCCGTCACTTTATACAAAACCAAAAAATCCGAAACCTAATGCAGCTTAAATTATTTATGAGAAACCCAGCTATTGACAGGCCCTTTTTATAACGAGATGGAAATTACATTTTCCTCTTTGGAAAAATAATTGCAAAGTTTAAATTGAAAATGTGGTAATAATGTCTCTTCTGGCTAACGATACCTACGCTGCTGAATTTATTATTAGTTAATTTTCATGGCTGGATAAACTAGAATTATAAATAAAGGAATTTTAATACAAAATATCAAAATCAAGCTCGAACAAACTAAATTTAAAGTGGCAAACAATTAAAAAGAAAACATAAAATTGAGAACAAAACGTTGATTAAATGAAGTGATTATGGACTAAAAGAAAAACAACATTGAAAATTTTGTTGTTTTAATCCATAAATGCTTAATTAGGATTATGAGCTTACAAGCTCCCCGGATATACATCATAAACATTGAAAAATGCTCGGTTGTCCTTAATCCAAAATTCACTATCGAAAATTCTAGTTTGTATGCAAATTCACTTTGATAATTCGTATGGGGATTTGTGATAATTTTTTTTGAGGATAATGTAATTGGAATGCTAATCAAAAGCTTTTTGACTATAAATTGGAGATTTTAGTACAATTAAAAGAAAATTTAAACTGTCACCTACTTTTTTAACAAACTCAAAAAGAAAATTCATAGAAAAAGGATTTCAATCTAATCGAGGAAAAGTTTCGTATTGGAAAGACAAAACTAATTTTAAAATAAAAGTTTTATTTCAATTGACTTGTTTCTTGTATTAAATTTTTATTGGTAATCAAACAAGCTGTTTTGGACTATTCAACTTGAGACTTTGACCCTTTTTCTTTTTGGAATTTTATATTTTCGATACACGTCGTAAACAGGACGCTGAAAGCATTTTAATTTTCTTTGGCCGACCTAAAACGAATAAGAAAAAAAGGGCCAGCTTTGATAAATTAATGCAAACGTGATGTTCTTACGTACCCCCGAAAGGAGATTTTCTTTCAGAGGAAAATCTCTTTTTAAGCTAGTGATTATAATACTGGGTGTCCTAAGATAAACTGACACATTTTGCTATAGTAGATTTCTCTAAAACAATATGTGATTTGTTCTGGGAGAATGAGGATTTTTTAAAGTTTTATTTCATAGAATTGCCAGTCATCGTCAGAAAACCTGATTTTTCTACTTTCCAAGAATGTATATATTTTTTTAATTGAAAATCACATTGTAAAAATTGCACATACAAATCATACAAAATTTCATATAAATCACCTTTGGAAGCTTCTGAAATGTATGATTATTCAAAAACTATACATAGGATTGAATTCATAAGTATCTACTGAAGGTTGAAGGGGTAGTCAGGAACAGGAAAATACCAGTGGCGTACACTCGATCGACAAACGAATGAAAAACCATACGCAAATATACAAAACTGTATGATTATTTAAAAACTGTATGTATCGGGTGTCCAAATAAGAAAGGACGCCGGCTATATCTCAGGAACTATTAATCCTAGAGCTTCCAAGTAAAAATTTTTTCTATTATAAAATAGGCCATGAAAAATTGCTGGAAATAGTTTTCAAGTTTGTAAGTTGACCGCTAGGGGGCGCATCGAACACTCGAAAACATAATACTGTGATTATCTTCAAAAAACGCCCACTTAAGGTATTCTAAAAATATGATTATTGAAATCTTGATGAGATTACGAAAAAATTATGTTAATGATTTTTTGCTCTAACTCTTCAAATAAGAGGTGGGGGAAAATTCAAACTTGTCAGGAACAAAAGTTATATAACTTTTTTGTTTTTCAACCGATTTAAATAAATCTGGTGTCATTTGGAAGAGTTTTTTTTCTGTTTAATGAAATGCATAATAAAAATGACAAAATTAAATTGTTTTGTTGCCGCTAGGGGGCGCTGTGTCTAAAAGTCGACAATTTTCCATTTTTTCTTGGAAATTTCAAATATAATGATGCTTTTTTTATAATCCAAATGACACCAGATTCATTTAAATCGGTTGAAAAACAAAAAAGTTATATAACTTTTGTTCCTGGCAAGTTTGAACCTTCCCCCACCTCTTATTTGAAGAGTTACAGCAAAAAATCCTTAACAAAATTTTTTCGTAATCTCATCAAGATTTCAATGATCATATTTTTAGGATACCTTAAGTGGGCGTTCTTTGAAGATAATCACAGTATTATGTTTTCGAGTGTTCGTTGCGCCCCCTAGCGGTCAACTTACAAACTTGAAAACTATTTCCAGCAATTTTTCATGGCCTATTTTATAGAAAAATTTTTACTTGGAAGCTCTAGGACTAATAGTTCCTGAGATATAGCCGGCGACCTTTCTTATTTGGACACCCGGTACATAAGATTGAATTCATACTAACATGGAAAGGTTGAGGGGCAGTGGCGTAACTTCAAATCCGTGACCCCCCGCAAGGGTTTTCCCGGGGCCATCTTTTATATATACTTATATTTTTTAAAATTTTTCTTTATACAGGGAGTCCGTTTTAACTGATCCAACTATTGCTATCTCCGAAACGGTAAGAAGGACGAGGTCGGTTTTAATTAGATAAAAGTGACAAATTTTAGTATTCATTGAAGGTAAGTTCACAGGGTTGCTAAATCTTTGTACGTTTCCGAGATATAAGGGAAATGTAAAAAACATTTAAAACTTAAAGTGTTCAATGCAAAAGTTCCAAGCTTCTTTCTTCTCTACAAAATGGCGTTTGTTATCTTCACACAGTTTCTAGTTGTGTCTACATTTTTTATCTGAGAGGTTTTAGATCTCGGAAACAAATAAAAAAAATGGCAACTCTGTGAACTTACCTCTAATGGATATTAAAATCTGCCATTTTTATTTAATTTACCCGACCTCATACTTCTTGTTTCGGAGATAGCAATAGTGATATCACTTGAAACGGACAGTTAATTTTACATCTGTGAGTATGTCTGAACATTTATCTCAGATTTCTTACATTGGTAAGACCAGACATACTTTTTTAAAGGTTGATATGTATTATAAGGTTCATAGGTTAAAGTATTTTCTTTCAGTTTGGTACCTACTACTCTTGTCACCAGTTTAGTACTTTCATCTGGCCTGGGGCGCCGCGGGGCCCCCAAAATCACGGGTACTCCCCGCAACTGCGGGCCCTGCGGGCCCTTAGTTACGCCACTGTTGGGGGGTTAGTCAGAAACAGGAAAATACCAGTGGCATACACTCAATCGACCTACGAATGGAGAACCATACGAAAATATACGAAACTGTATGATTATTCAAAAACTGTACAGGGTGTTTTTTATACAGTTTACACACTTCGCCCGTTTGGTGTAGTTCGAGAAAATAGACCCGCGGTTTTTTTCGTTTGCCGCGACCGGTTAAATCAAGACGGTTTCGTTTGCACTCCTTCGCATTGGACTTGAACTTCCTGAAAGAGCTGGCCAACTGAGTGGAGTTTGGAAGTAAAGCCAGGTGAGGTGAAAAAATATCCTTTTAAGTTTCAGTATCTTTCAATTTCAATTTAAAATCTTTCATCGATTACCATTCTATTAGCAACCTGTGGATTTTCCAGTTTTAATTTTGCATACAACATATTGATGAATAGATGGCTGAGAGAGGTTCACCCATAAGTTCTGCAGCAATTCACTCATTTGTACTTGGATGACTTGTCACATTATGTTACTAATTTTTACAAATTTTGACTTTATGTAATAAGTTATTGTTCAAGTACAGTGTGTTTTTTTATATATTGACATCTCACCTACAGCATTTACCTTTACATGTAGAAAAAAGGTGTAAATACAAAATGGGATGCCCTATATTTCATTCTATATTCTTGAAGAGCATAATGCCCCGATTCCAAAAATATATAGTGTGTCTATATTTGATCGAGAAGTCTCTCATATATTCGGCTCCAAAAATTGTAAAAATACTATCCTACCACTGATTTTGTGAACCATTCTACCTGTACAGGTGAAAGCTGCAGGTAAAATTTGAGGTATACTTGGTTTCTTTGATAGTATTTTTAAACATTTTTAGAACCAAACATTTTTAGAACCAAATATAGACAAACTATATAGTTTTGGAATCGGGAAATTGTGCTCTTCAAGAATATAGAACCAAATATAAGGCATCCCATTTGAAAAAAGCTGAAAGCATGCCACATTTCACATTTCTGACATTCAATTTTTGTTTCTGACCATGGATTCTAAAAATTTAGCTAATACTGTACAACTTTTGTATTTACACCTTTCATCTTCTTGTAAAGGTGAAGGCTGTAGGTGGGGTGTCAATGTATAAAAAAACACACTGTACTTGAACAATAACATTATATAAAATCAGAATTTGTAAGATTATCCACTTTTTGTCAATTTGCCTTTTAACAGGAATTAGTAATGTTACTTTAGCAAACTAGTAACATAACGTAAGACTCACCTAGCTATTCAAGTACAAATGAGTGAATGGTTGCGGAACTTAGGGGTGCACCTCTGCGGGACGAGCGCAGCGAGTTCCGCAGTCATCTATTCATCAATATGTTGTCCAATTACGATACTAACCTAACTCACTCAAATATGAGTTATTCTCATTAGTTCAAAAACTACACGTTTTAGGTGAATGTCTTACTTGAACAGTTCACCAGTAGATGGGATCCACCTATAGGTTCCGCAACAATTCACTTATTTGTACTTGAAAAATAACTTATTATATAAAGTCAGAATTTGTAAGATTATCCACTTTTTGTCAATTCGCCTTTCAACAAGAATTAGTAATGTTAATTTACCAAAGTAGTAATATATTGTGACAAGTTATTCAAGTACAAACGAGTGGATTGTTGTGGAACTTATTGGTGGGCCTAGTCATCATTCAAGTACAATACTAACCTGATTCACTCAGTTGTGAATTTGTCTCATTAGTTCAAAAACTACATGTTTCAGGTGAGTGTCTCATTTGAACAGTTCAGCAGTATATTGGTGAGTAGATGGCTGCGGAACTCGCTGCGCTCGTCCCGCAGAGGTCCACCCATAAGTTCTGCAATAATCCACTTATTTGTACTTTTGTATTTACACCGCCTTTCATCTCCTTGTAAAGGTAAAGGCTGTAGGTGGGGTGTCAATATATAAAAAAAAAACACCCTGTACATAGTATTGAATTTATACTAACATGGAAAGGTTGAGGGGTTAGTCAGAAACAGGAAAATACCAGTGGCGTACACTCGATCGACCTACTAATGGAGAACCATTGAAACTAGACAAAACTAGACAAAACTGTATGACTGTACTGTGTACTGTGAAAAAATCCTTATGTTCCCAATACAAATCTTTTCTCGTTTTCGAGATATTTACCGGCAAAATGTATCAGTTTTTCTAAGAGCACCCTTAATCAATAATCATTGATCAGGATGAGTTAATGAGCTATTTTCGAGTGAAGTTTTCAATATTATAAACTTACCAAAGACATGATTCGTAAGACTCACCTAGAACAAAAAAATAAAATGTTACTTTCTTCGTAAAAGCTCCAAAAACTAAATACGTCATAATATAGACAATAAATAATATCGAATATACCGACACAATTTTAATAATAAGTATCGACCATTGTTTTCTGTGTTATCTTTATTGCTTATCGAAATTACCATTTATCGTGCGTGTGTTGCAAAAATAAGTACGAAAAAAAAAAAATCGGGGTTGAATTATTATTACTTCACTAGTATCGTAATAATGATGGTCGATTTTTATGCATTCCGCGTGAAAATTGTTTGTTGAAATTATTAGAAATTACTATGTATAGATGGAATTTACAAATTTGTTGCGTTATATTATTGGTGTTATAACAAGGCTCTTATGTGTATGTGTTATAAATGACAAGGATCCTCAATTGCTGTCAAAGTAGAAAAATTCCACTATTCAAGGACAGTAAAAGATGAAGAGGAAAAATGATAAAAATTTGAAACAAAAATAGATAAAATGTGCATAAACATACAATAGACTCAACAAACTTGACATCAGGATTTCGCATTACAATTAGTAAATACACAAAATTAATCAATTTATGTTAATTTACCCAAATAGTTAGGCAAACAGTAGGCCAAAATTTATAGTATTTTAATTAAAACTATAGGCCTATTAAAACCATATTCCAATTAATAAATTAACGATCCTGTACTGTTTCTGTGCAGATTAATAAAGTACAGTTTATATTGCAAATTGAGATAGCAAGTTATATAAAAAAAAAATAGTAATTTAATGAAACTTATGAGTTTATGATAAGGTTTAAGTATAAAGGATTAGTAGTTATACTAAGTAATTTTTTTTGGTTTTTATGTACAAAGACCTTGCAATTTATTTTCCTAAAATGCTAATGCGATAAGATAAATTAACATTATTGATTGTGTTTTTTCGTTGAAAAGGGAAATTGTTTTACCTTGGCTGCAATAATAATTATTGCTGATAATGATTATTAATATTGGATTTATGCCCTTTTAACCCAATAGAAAATTCTTAGAAAACACTTTCATTCAAAACCACTTTTATTTCATTACACGTATAAAAACCACTACACACAGCAAAAGCACAAACTATCCACTGACGGTGCAATTAAAATTTTATTTATTTCGAAAAAGGTTTATTAGTATGTTTAGAAAATAATAACGTGTTATCACAATCACAATTTATTTATTTTAAAAATTAATACCGACTGATAAAAGGAGAGCTTGATCTTGAAAAAAGACGAGAGGCACACCGTTACGTAAGAACCTGATAGGTACCTCTATAAGTACTAACAAATAAACTAACTTTATTGTTGAATACCTAGAACCATTAAAATCTGGTTAGTGAGTGAATAAACCGCATATATTCATGAACTAATGTTTTAATAAGTGTGTTTACTCATTGCAAATTAAGGAAATTACCGATTTTGAGAGGTTTTCCTAGAATTTGCTGGTTTATTTTTGAGATTATTGAGAGGATTTCGAAGGAACTTGATTAAGCCTTCATCCTTAAAAATTATTCTATTGGGGCAAAAGATGATCCATATTTTCAATTTTTCATTGCATCAATTGCAATTCTACAAATCTATTTGAAACTGCTCTATAAACGTAGTAGCCTTAGTTGAACAAATTGATAATACAAGGACGTTTATAGGGTAGTTTGGAATCGTTTTAAATCAATTCTTCAATTTCTTATTAGCAGTCCAAATAGGTGCGGTTCCGGTTTAAAAAATGTAAAACAGTTTTGAAAAAGGTCAACAACTTTTGGCAATTGCCAGTGCCGAACCGCTTTAATTAATTAATTAGTAAAATGTCGTATTCGGTTTACGGTTCTTGAATTGCATCACTACTTGCAGGGGGTTTGTCTCTTGTATTATTTAATCGTGTCAGACTATTACGTCACAATTATTATTTGATTACGTGAGATTGTTTTTTAGAAGATTTAGCATTAAAAACGATTCCACTCTTCCATTTCTGAACTAAAAGTTCTGAGCCAAATGAGAGTTAAAGAACAGGAAAGAAAGCACTTTTTAACCCAAATTATTCCAGAATGGAATGAGAAGGAATCGACATTAATTATTGCTCTTAGTGTCCAAAATCAATTGACAAAGCAAAGTGTCCTAGAACGGTTCCGAATTGAAATTTTAGATCGAAGAATAAACTCCTCTAAACTTGCCCTTAACAACATGATCTGATGTCCTAGAGCAATTTGAATAACTTAATTTGAACTCACTTTCCAATTCCAGAAGTTTGAATATTGAATTGAAAATAAAAATTCAACTTTGAGACTGAATTGTCCAAATTCAATTGACAAAGTGCCCTAGAATGGTTTCGAACTGAAATTTTAGCTCGAAGAACAAACTCTTCTAGTCCAAATTAGAGCAGAAACTTGTCCTTAAAAACATGATCTGGTGTCCTAGAGTAATTGGAATAACCTTTTACTTGAACTCACTTTTCAATTCCAGGAGTTTGATTATTGAACTAGGAAGAAAAATTCAACTTTGGGACTGAATTGTCCAAAACCAATTGACAAAGTATCCTAGAATGGTTTCGAATTGAAATTTTAGCTTGAAGAACAAACTCTTCTAGTCCAAATCAGAGCAAAAACTTGCCCTTAAAATATGCTCTGGTGTCCTAGAGCAGTTTGAATAACTTAATTTAAACTCACTTTCCAATTCCAGGAATTTGAATAGTGAATTGAAAATAAAAATTCAACTTTGAGACTTATTGTCCAAAATGAATTGACAAAATGTCCTAGAATGGTTTCGAATTGAAATTTTAGGTCGAAGATCAAACTCCTCTAGTCCAGATTAGAGCAGAAACTTGCTCTTAAAAACATGATCTAGTGTCCTAAAGCAGTTTGAATAACTTTATTTGAACTCACTAATTCCAGGAGTTTGAATATTGAATTGAGGGCTCAATTGCTTAAAAAGTAATCGAGCTATCAAACTCAATTCAGCACAGATTTATAGAGAATTTAATGCTCTTTCGAATAGTGTATGATCTATTTTGATCAAATTTTGATAGAAATATTTCCAATTTTTCCTAACTTTGTCATGATTCAAAAAGGTTGATGATGATCAAAACTCATTTTGTATCAACTACTTCATTTTAAAACTTGAAATTTTAAGTACCAAAAAAACCCAGAAATGTACTTCTGGTACCAAAAAAAAAATCAACTTACTTAATAGCAAACACTTCATAAAACACCACTTCGAACTAAATCCCAAATAAAAAAGATCCACACCGAAACAGCACTCACAAAAAATTTGGGTACTAAAGTAGTAAGTAGTACTAAAATTGAAAATAAAATCGGGTACGTTCGCGGTACGCTCACAGCAGTGAAACTGAATATAACAGTCTCGAAAAAGAATCCGTGCTTTCCCGTTACGTTGGCTTGGTGAATGGCTGAACTGGCTTGCCCCGGCAAAAATCTAGGTCGACGCAAAAGTTATATACTTTTTTTTTTTGTGGCACCCTGAGGCCTGAGACTCTAGTGGTACCCCAATCAATGACTGATAAGAATGTTGGAAACAATAAACAGAAAAACAATAATTAAGTAGGTAGGGGTTTTTGTCCTGTTTATTTGGAAACTAGGTACTTTCTTCTTGGTTTGCTTTTTTCCAGCTGACATTTTTCAAATGATTGAGTTAGTTTTCTGTTAATTGTTAATGTTAATTAATTTCTGAGTTATTGTAGACTCCAAACCCCAAGAAAAATCTAGAGTTGTTATATCGCAAGAAAAATCCGAATCTTAATTAGAACTCAGGCCATTTTGAGTAGAAATTGAGCTATTTTTGACCCTTGTTGCGTTGAATTTGAGTTAGAAATGTTAGAAAATACTATTCCTGAAGCTTCTAAAGAATTATAGAGTCGTGGATAATAAAATTGAGATTTTTCAATAATTCTCAAATCATTAAAACCTCAAACCTTTCTATTGATTGGAACCATATTTTTTTGTATTCATCAGATACGACACCCATTTAAGAAATCGTTCATTTTCGCCTTTCTCTTTTTTTTTTAAATACTTTCCGTTAAACGTACATTCTAGTTTTTTTTTGAGGGGGCCATGCACTTAATCAGCAAATAATATTTAAAAAATAATGTCGGTATTTAGAGCGTGATGGCTCTTAAATTATGCATTGAAAGTTGCTTCAGGAATTTAAATTTGCAAACAATTGTATCGTGATCAGAAGAATTATTAATATATAGAAGTTCACAGAAACTTGTTAATCAGTTTCTAGAAAGATTCAAATCATTACTAGCAATAGATTCATATTAAATAGCCCATTCAATCTTGAAATTATGTGGAAACTCAAATATCAAATCCCGAATTAAAAAAAACTACCGCAAGTTATTTTGCCTTTTCTCATTTTCCCAAGCCAATCCCCTATAAGTGTCTCGTTTTCTAATGACCTTTACTAAAAAATTCCCGCTACCTTGAAACGAACCCATATAATACCGTTCAACTTTTATATTCATATTCACTAGGGTGTAACAAGATAAATTCTAGGATTTAATTGCCACAGCTCAAAAAAACCAATGGGAGATTATTTGATTGAGTCCGTCCTGTATACAAAGCAATATCGCGGTATCTTTGCATCAGATCGGATTTACTTATGGGGGACCACACCTTATTTATTACGAAAACTCATGCAGATATCGAGAACTAATTGAAGAAAACTTTGGCATAACAATCAGGTTCAGTGTCGTTTGAATTTATTCAAGTTGAAATGGTGAAATGTCAAAAGAGGAATGTAGAATGTTCTAATAGTTTTGATTTATTTTAGATTGTACTATGATTAATCAAATCCAAGTTGAAACAAATTGCATTAAATCAACGTCCTTCAATAATGCTTTGTTGGATAATAAGGCTTTACAATTATTATTATCAAACCTTAGTTTATGGTAATACATGCTAGATATTGCATTGGAATTTAAAAAAATTGTAATTTTCAAGTGTAGTACTCAATACTCCTCTATTCATC